TTATATCTGTATTTGGACTTTATTACAAAGATTTGTATCTAAATAATAATTCTTAATAATTTACAAAAACAAAATTTACCTTTAGTCTAACTTGAACTATTGATCTTGTTTGTAAAAAATTTAAAAACTTACTAAGCTATAGAATCCAGATCTTTAAACAGTAATTTTTTAAATTTTTTTATATAATTAAATTTTACTATAATTAGTTTTTTATATAAATATATTAGAAAATACTTTTATAATGCTATAGTGCTATAGCACTATCTTATATTAAATATTAATATAATATGTAAATCAAAATAAACAAAATTTAAATTTTTTCTTTTATTAAATATTAAGATAAGTATTTATGAACTAGGATTTTATTGATAGCTAATGGTTGCATTAAAACCATAGAGAGCAATCATAAAAAGAGTATATAACTAGTTACTTGTATAATTTTAGTCATTGTCTAATTTAAGTAGTCTGCTAAAGGTTTGATACTAGCTGCTATATCTGAAACCTGTTTGTAGATTTTCTATTTAAACATTCTAGTTTCTATACTTATCCACCTACCTCTGCTTACTAATAACTCTGACTAATATCAATGAAAATATGCCATGGTCATTAAGTTTTTAAAACAGTTTACTCATATAAGAAACTTTTGACCTTGTACTAAACCTTCTAGAATCTTCTGTATTTTATTCTTATAACTAACCTGATATCACTATAGCTAAGACCAACACTTGCAGTTAGGTTATATTATTAAACTACTATGCTCTTGTAGAGTTTACTCCAATTCTGGTACTAATTTCACAACATATTTCTATTACTTGGTATTCAATTCAAGTTTTACTAAGCTTCTAAATCAAATACTCTAAAAAGACAGATTGTAATTATACATCTCTAGTTTATATGTTCTTTGGCATGTAATCTTTTTCTTCAAAACAGATTCTGACAGCTTGGTTGGTTTTATTCAGCACCTTTCCAAAGGCCAGCTCTGTGTCTAACTTTATGAGTTTTAACTCTGTTTTTAAGTTTAATCTTTACAGTAGTACTATCAAAAGTTTGGGCTATCTTTCTATTTAGGTTTTCCAAATAGGCTTCTGTTTTCCTACCTAGTTCTTGTAATTTATATAATCTAAAAACTTATTATAAGTTCATACTGCCTAGTACCAGTTTGTATTTCTTTATACAACATTGTATGAATGCCTAGACCTTTTAGTCATACTAGTATGACACAGGTTACAGATATCTAATCCTAACCAATTACAGAAAACAGTTAACTATAACACAGAAAAAATTGCAAATTTTCACTGTTACTAAGATTTGAACTCTAGACCTGCCACTTGGGTTGACAATCTGTCTACTTTACTAGATTATCACACCTTTACAAAATTTAATTCTTTTAATATTAAAATATGAGTAAAGACTAAAAGTTAGGATTAGAAAAAATTTATAGTAAAATTCTATAAGAAAATTTTTTTTAAAACCCAAAAGGTAGTTTCATAGACAAATTTTTGAGCTATAATAAAATTTTTAAAATATTTCTTATTTTGTTACACAAAACTACTTTTCATATTGCACCTGATTTTAAATTTTAATTAATTATAATGCTCTAGTACTATAATACTATAGTACTATAAAAATATTTTCAATATATTATATAAAAATTTTTTATAAACAAATTTAAAAATATTGTTATTTTAAGTTATAATAATTTTACTAGAAGTACTATATTCAAAAACCTACTAGCTAAGTTATATTAAAGATACTAAGTAAAAATATTCAAAATCTTCAAAAACCTAACTTTAACTAAACTTTGAATTTTTATATTTAACTTTTTCTTGTATCTAAAATTTGTACTTTAATTTTAAATTTAATAAAAATAATATAAGACAATGAAATTATTACTAGTTAAATACAACTAGATAATATCACCTAGAGAGAAAATTAGCAACAGTCTATACTAATGAGTGCAGATCAAAATTTCAACAAACAGAATCCTAACAAATCATACTCTCAACAAAAAATCCTAACAATTAAAAATCTCAACAATTAAAAATCCTGACAACCAGAATTTTTAAACAAAAAATCTGAAGTATGAGATATGTTTAAAGCAGAATTTACTAATTTCTTCCATACAACTAATTGGTTCTACTAATCATTCACATATCTGAATATCTGTGTTATTAATTAATTTTATAGCTCTCCGATAGTGAAATGGTAGGAAAAATTAGGGCATCCTCTAAAGCGAAATAGACTCTTATAATTTAATTAATTTTAGGGTTAGCCACTTTAGATAAGGGTTAAGATATGGTTTGCTATGGTCTATGATATTTTTTATCAGAGTTTTTAATTGTCGAAATTTTTAACTGTTAGGATTTTTGACTGTCGGGATTTTTAGCTGTCAGGATTTTTTTTTGTCGGGATTATGACTTGTCGGGATTCTGTCTGTCGGGATTTTGACTCAAACCCATACTAATATATTTAAAAGAATGGTTTAGTAATATTTTTAACAATATTATTAAATCATAGCAATAGTATATATTTAATATTATAATTACTTTATTCCAAAAACTGTCTAAATAACTAAGTCTAATATACTAAATAAAAATGTTCAACATCTCAAAAAAACAAAACCTTACTTTTAGTTTTAATTTTTAGGGTTTAACCTATAATTTTTAACCCTAGCGTTAATATTGGGGGCAAAATTACTTAAAAAAATTATAAATGTTAAGCATCACTGATGTGATTTAAAAAGGTTTAAAATTTTTTGATATTTAAACTTATTAATATATTATTTTTTAAAAAAAATTCAATGTTTTTTAAAATTTATTAGTTTACGCAGTGTATGAATTTATGTATATATCATTAATATTAAAAAAAAAAAAGAATTCATGTATATATCCGGTTTAAATTATGGTCACATAGTGTACAAGTAAAAATTGCCTTAAATTTTTTTTTTTATTAAAAATATAATTTTTTAAAGCAAAAACTTTATTTTAAATTATGATTATTTAAATTGCTTAAGTCTATGAGTATAACTAACCACATATGTAACTTTAATTAAAGGGTATATGCTTAAAGGTTATTCATTAACTATCATATGTACCTGAAATCAAAGTTTTTATTTGAGTGACAATGAGGAAAAAACGGTATCGGGCTTTCAAGTTTATTATTCATTATTTACCAGACTCAGCCTTGACTGATAACATAAGTGACGCGTAATTAAATTTGTCTACGTATCATATATGTCTCTAATCAGGATTAAGTTTGGCAAATAAGTAATAAACCGAAGTCTGATTTTCCCTCGATGTCACTCATTGACTAACCTGGCTTCCTTATTAATCTTATTCTAATTTTATGGCATCATCGTTAGACTACAAGCTGCCCAGACAGACAATTTTCTCACAATCACAAGCAGAACACTTGGTTATATTTTCAATATATACTACTGTACGATTCTAAATCGGTACAAGTTGCAACAGAATCCTGAAGAATGATAAGAGAATCCAATTGCTACTTAATATATGAACTCGATCAATCATTAGTAAACCTGTTTAATTAAGGAATAACCGAATTTCAAAAGTACTGTATTTTAAGCCAAACCTGAATATGGTCAAATATAGTTTTCATGAGAAAATAATATGCGTCGAATTGAGAGTAAGTCAGGTGCTCTTGAAATTACGATTGAAATTCTCCCTATTAGGCTTAATCAAAAGTTACAAATGATTACGTATAAATCCCATATGCATACGTAATCGTTATTACATATCTGTAAGAAATACAGAAATGCTTTAGAGTAGTCATCCAAATAAATTAGAATGCAAAATTAAATGTGACCATATAGCTTATAAGAATCAGATATAGTTTATAACGTTAACCACTTAGATGGATTTAAGTTTTCATTTCAACTTAATTATTAAATGAGATTCTAAATTTAGATGTTTTATTTTAACTCATAACACTGCTACGTACTAGAAACTGCATTATCTACCTTATATTAACTATCCAGTATAATATAACTCTCATTGTGTTTATTAGTCACGACTTCTTCAATGTTTCCTAAATGCATATATTAGTTTTTTCTGTGAAAACATTAATCTCTTGTTTAAGGGCATAATATATATGTAGAAAACAATCAACTTCCAATTTTTATAAATACACACCTCTGAATATATATTTTTACTAGGGTTTTGAAGGGTATACATAGCGATAGGGCAAGTTCTTTGTATTAAAACAAGCAACTTGGCGAATCGATCCGGTGACTTCGAGTTTAGCATTTTAGAAAGATTAGAACGTTAATAGATTTCAATTTTTATCTGTCATTATTATATAGTTATATCGATATATTATGCCTAAACATTCGGTGAAAACATTCGATGAGTTTCAATACCTAACTAGATTTGCAAAAATAAAGTTTTGCCATTCCTAACTTTTGATATACTGTATTATTAACAAATGCAAAGTCCGTAGTTGACGATGAACTGTGAGAATGAATTGCACCACCAATGTGACCAGTTTTCAGTTTTTCCGCATTTACAATTAAATATCTTCGTTAGCATTGCATCCTAAGTATTATGTCGATAAATCCTATTCTCAGGATATGTTTGTTCTATTTGATAGTCTAAAAATAAAATTAGCTAAAATAAGGATTTTTTCTAATATTATATGCGGTCTAGTATTGGAGAACGCAATGCTAGATTTGAACAGTTTAAGATCTCTCATTATAAAATTTTAGCTTCTATAATGAGTAAGAAAAGGGGTGCTCGAACTACAAAATTATCCCACACCATAAGCGATTATTTAAGACAATCCTTTAATAAATTATAAATGGCAACATTGTTGACTCCTTATTGATCGTCCGACTGTCTAATATTTTGAATGAATATGTAGGAGGTAGTGTCTGCAATTACTTTTTTTAGCATCAAAGTATCAAGTCGATATATATTACCGATAGAATCATAGATCCTGCGATTTCTGAACAGTAATCTCGACAATATTAATATTAGTTAATCATGCCTCACTTAATCAAATTATTAAACACCACAAATCTTAATTGGTTACAATCCTCAAAATTTAGATCTCTACGAATCATTAATTCAAATATTGGCACTTATGGATGTGGTAATAGAAGGACAAAGTTAATCGCATCAATATTACGTAATAATAGATGTGGTAGCGTTCGCTTGTATCATGATGATGGCGCTTTTGGGTATAGAATCCCTAGAGTATTTAGTATGCCTGATTGTAGGTTTTATTTTATAATTATGGGACATTAAGAATCGAAGCAATACTAATTTGGGCTTACATATATCGTAAAGATACGCAGGAGGAATTATCAAATAGAATCGAAAATGCAAATTTACTAAGACTTGTTACTGCTTATAGAACTCATGGTCATAGATGTGCGTACATTGATCCTTTAGGAATCATGGAACGAGAGTAAGTTCCTAAAATTGAACGTTTACTTTATTTTGCATAATTATAAATTGCATCTTATTTGTGATTAGAGAAGTTGTTGCTTTAGATAATACTCGATATGGGTTAACGGACCCTACGAAGGTTTATAACTTGATTGGTAAATATTGCATATACTCTTTTAATAGATTGGGGAGAATCAGCGGAGACGCACAAATTTTCATTTTCCTTTTTTTCTTTAATTTTAAAAGAACTTAATGATTACTGATCAACTTAATGTTTTACAATTTTACAAGTTTATTAAAAAAAAAAAAATACATATATAATTTATGCGTCTCTGTTGACTCACTCTATATTGAAAATTGTTTTCAAGCATAATAGAATATCTATTGGTTTGTATATAAGGAATCCTGCATGCAAACGAATCAAAAACATCTACGAATTCAAAAGTTGAAGCAAATCTCGGATATATTATTTCGCATTTAAAAAAAGTTTATTGTGGTAAAGTTGCTTACGAGTTTATGCATATTCCAGTGAGTATTTACTGACTTTATTTACTGACTCTATTTAAAGAAATGTAATACAATTATCATCACTAATATATAATTTTTTTGGTAGAATGCAAGTGAAAGAAGATGGTTTTATTATATGATAGAATCTTTTAATACTGTGTCGTTGACCCCTCAACAAAAACGGAGAATCTTTGAAGTGCTAACTAGATCGGAGGTATTTGGCAGTTTTTCTCAAATAATACTTATGTTATTTAAAACAGTTTCATTCATTTTTATCATCGATCAGGTATTCGATCATTTTATGGCAAAGAAATTTCCTCAAGTCAAACGCTATGGTCTAGAAGGTGCCGAATCAATGATTGTGGCTTTAGATAGACTATTTGAAGTGTCCAATAAATGTAAATTCTTCCTTTTATTGTGACTTTTCTCGATAAATTATTTTTAATCAGTCTAATTTTTCTTAAACTTCATGCATATTTTTGAATTACTTATTAGCTGGAATTGTCGAAGCTGTTTTATGTATGCCACATAGGGGTCGTCTAAACCTATTAACAGATTTGCTACACTTTTCGCCAACAAGATTGTTTCACAAAGTTAAAGGAAATCCCGAGTTTCCTGAAGAGTTACCTGCTACTGGCGATGTTCTGTCACATCTAGGTATGTATTAAAATTTATTATTATTATTAGGATAAATCTATATATGGAGGTGAGTCAATAGAAATCAAGCAAATTGTTTTTATTGAATTTTTTTTTAAAACTTTAAATGCTAAAAATTTGATAATATTTTTTTAAATAAATTCTAAAAGTTTGTAGAATTCATTAAAAAAAAAAAATTATTAAATTTGATTAAGTTGTTATTAAGCTATCATTATTCAAAGTTTTAAAAAAATTTACTTAGAAAAAATTTGCTTGATTTCTATTGACTCAACCCCATATAGTCTAATTCTAGGTACAAAAAATATATATATATACTAGATCTTTGTAAACAAAATTACTTTATATATATTACGACTATATAGAGGCTACATATTATATTTATAAGAAAATTATTACACTTAACCGGAGGTAAATTTCCTCCCTTTATGTTTTTAAGATGTTTTAAGGTTAGGGTGCAATTTGAGACTAAGATAAGGGTTAGATATAAAAGCCCCAAATTTAGGTACACGAGGTTTTGGGGTGTTCTTAACATTTTTACTTAGTATATCTGACCCCTGTTTCTTAGTCCCGTTTTTGAGATATTACATCTCAGGTAATTTCCCCCGGTTAAGATTAGCTGTTCTCTATTTATATTTATGTTAATTTTATGAATCTTATAGCCATCTCACCAACATTGGAATACGGTGGTGCAAAACCTATTACTATATCAATGCCACATAATCCTTCTCATCTTGAGGTATATCATATTTTTTTGTGTTCTATTGAAGTAGATTAGATATTCCATTCTTTAGAATTTAGTTTATTCATCATTGTTAAGTCATTACTATTAGTTTATTTAGCGAAAACTTTATTAAACGTTTATAATTCTAAAATTATGTTTGAGTTCTATGAATTGTTAGTCGAGTTACATCATATTTTACTGTAGACATTAATCTACCTTTGATAATAACAGGCAGTAAATCCAATAGCAATGGGAAAGGCACGTGCAAAACAAATGGACCTTATAAAATCAGAAACCGATTGTGACCTTGGAGATCGTGTTATGTGTATACAATTACATGGTGATGCGGTAAATTCACATCATATTTTATTATGTATATTTTTTTTTAATTTGCGTCCGTTTTATTAAAAGAAAAAAACATAGGCATTTACAGGGCAGGGTACCATAATGGAAAGTTTTGGATTATCAAATTTGCCACATTTTTCTTCTGGTGGATCGATACATATTGTAGTGAATAATCAATTGGGTTATACAACTCCTGCGCAAAATGCTAGAAGCAGTTGGTATTGTAGTGACATTGGAAAAATGATTAACGCTCCTGTAATTCATGTTAATGGTGATTTTCCTGAGGTAAATCATATTTCATGCTGAATATTAGTTATGAAAATTTGGAGTTAAAAGGATTCATCTTTCAACTGATAGGAAGTAACTCGAGCTATTGATATGGCATTTGAGTATAGAAATAAATTTCGAAAAGTATAATTCTAATCTTTTTAATTAAAGCATTGCATGTATATTTTTTTGAATACTGTACTAAATAGTCTGATGCTTTACTTAAATTAGGATGTTATCATAGACTTGATAAGTTACCGTCGATGGGGGCATAATGAACTTGATGAACCTGCATTTACACAGCCATTGATGTACAACAATATAAGGTCAAGAAAGAGTGTACCAAAGTTGTATGAAGAAAAGCTATTGGTAGTATATAGTTTTTTATTTTTATTATAATAATTAGGACTAAGATCGTCATATTAATATATATTAATAATTTTGATGAAATAATATAGACGGAAGAATCGATTCTTTCAGAGAGTGACATTTCAGAATTCAGGAAGAATTATTTTAATACTTTGGAAGAACATTATAAAATTAGTGATACATATAAACCAGAAGTATATGAGTTGTAGATTACTTGATAGTGGTTTTTTTACATGATAGGCTGGCTAAATTTGATTATAATAGGCGGATATGCTAAAAAAGAAATGGAATGGACTTATTATGCCAACTGAAACTGTTACTAAAATGGACACAGGTATGTAATATAAAAAATATTGAATAGAAATAACCAGGGTTGGCACGGACGATCAATGGTCAAGTCTGATTGTTCCAATTTGACCAATTGATCGGCTGGTCAAAGAGTCAAATTGGTCAAATAAACTAGCCAATCAAATTAAAGGCTTTAATTTTGCAAAACTTCAATAAATGAGCCTTTAACTTTTAATTAAAGCTATAATGCTTGCATTTCTAATTCTAGTAGGGTTGAATTATCCAAATTAGTCTGCTAGATCCTGAGATACTTGGGGTTAAATATTTGTGACATAGACCTTAAACCCAGTTATCTCGGAATTTACCTAATAATCTAACTGATTATTAGAATCAAAAAAGCAAGCTTTATAATTTTAATTAAAGGTCAAAAGGTTTATTTATTAAAATTTTTTAATTTTAAAAAATCAAATAGATCAATCAGATTAAATTTGGTCAAATTACTCAAACAGGTGTGACAAATAAGCTATTATCATATGAATATAATAACAAATCAGAAATCATTTGCTAATAATTAAACTATTATGTTTTACTGGTTTGACCAATTTGCCACTATTAAAACCAAAAAAGTAAGCTTGCAACTTTAATTAAAAGTCAAAAAAAAGGTTTATTAAAATTTTCTAAAATTTAATTTTTTAATCTGATTTGCTAAATATTTAAACCAATTTAATAGACCAATTTGATCAAAACCTCTGACTATTGGCCAACAAAATTTTTAACTAACTAATAATTAACCAACTCTAGAAATAATCTAAATTTTGTCATGTATCTGTATATTATCTTATAGGTGTTTCAAGAGAAATTTTAGAAAAGATTGGAAAGACATCTGTTCATATACCTCATGAGATTGTATATTTTATTTTATTTCTATTCAAATATTTATAATAGTAATATTATTATATAATAAAATAATTTCAATAATTAATAGGCAGTTCATCCAAGATTAAAAAAATTTCATATTCAATCAAGATTGCAAAAAATTTCTACAGGAAAGAATATTGATTGGGCTACAGCAGAGGTTTGAATACGTTACATATATATATATAATTAACTATAATATAACAGGGGTCTTTACACCGGTTTCATCGGTTTAACGGACCAAATTTGAAGTGCCAAATTTTAACGGACAATTAAAACGGATTAAATAGTAAAAAGGCCATATCATGTATAACAACCAATATGGAGAATTAATATAGTATATTGACTGACGACCACCCAGAGTGCAGTTACATGACTACGATTTTACTAATGGCTATTCAAAATCTGACCTGAAATAGGTCTATAACGAGATTTAATATTGGTCAAGCTTATTCCGTTATATAGGTATATCGAACATACTGTATAACGGAGCTTTAGACCAGCCCAGGTTCCTGTTATACTGATAGTTGACTGTATATATATATATATTTCTTTGAATCATTCTCTTTTGCACCTCCGTTACATGACTGTTACATGATTTTTTTATATTAACTTTGAAAATAGGCGTTGGCACTTGGATCATTAATGTTAGAAGGGCATAATGTAAGATTATGTGGTCAAGATGTTGGTCGAGGAACGTTTAGTCAACGTCATGCAATGATTGTGTGTCAAGATACAGAAAAAATTGTTGTGCCATTGAATAATTTAGCACCTGATCAAGGAATGTTCGAGGCATGTTTTAGATCAATGTTCGTTTTAATTACTTGGTTTAGAACTGTATTTACACAAACGCTGGGTTATTTTTTTAACTAAATAGATTGTAAATAGCCCCCTAAGTGAATTGGCTGTTGTAGGATTTGAGTATGGAATGTCATATGAATCTCCACACAATCTTATTATCTGGGAAGCCCAATTTGGGGACTTTTTCAATGGAGCACAAGTTATTATTGACACTTACATTTCTAGCGGTGAATGTATGTATTTTTTTTTTTGAAAAACAACCATAGAAATATTTTGTTTAATGACAGTAACTCTTTTTAGTAAAATGGTTGAGACAGTCTGGGCTTGTGATGCTTTTGCCACATGGTTATGATGGTGCAGGACCTGAACATTCTAGTTGTAGGATTGAAAGGTTTTTGCAAGCAAGTCTTTAAGGCTTAATTTTATTTTATACTTCTAAAAAAATACATTAAAGCTTATTATTTTATAATTATACTATAGTTAACAAATGATAGGTTTGATATCTTAGATGAAAGTATACCTAACAATCCAAATATGCATATTGTGAACCCAACAACACCTGCACAATATTTCCACGTTTTAAGAAGACAGGTACTATAATGTTTTCATATTATACTATTTATTTTTGCTGGTAATACGTATAAATGCTAACATATAATACGTATTTTGATGATATAGATGAAAAGAGACTTTAGAAAACCGCTAATAATAGCTACACCAAAACTATTACTAAGATCACCTGTAAGTTTTGTTTATTTATCTAGTTACTTAACATTAAACTAAGAATTTTCGTAAATATAGGTGGCAGTATCTAATTTTGAAGATATGTTACATGGAACTACGTTTTTACCTATTATTGGAAATAAATCCGTTGATGATGATAATAAGTAGGTTGAATTTACCTTATTTTATTTATACTTATTTAATAATTATTTACTGCAATATATTTTTATTTAAATATATATTGTTAATTATTAAATTTGAAGGGTTGAGAAAATTGTATTTGTATCAGGAAAAATATATTACGATTTAATTAAAGAAAGGCAGAATAAGAAAATTGAAGATAAAGTCGCTATTATTAGATTTGAGGCATGTTAACTTACTGGTCAATTGATTGTTAATAAATTAAAATGTTTAATTATAAATGCTTCTAAAATATTAATAATTAATTTTTTATACTTGTAGGAGTTATGCCCATTTCCAAAATCTGATATCGAAGAAGAATTAAAAAAATATACCAATGCTAAAGGTGTTTAAAATCTTCATTTACAATATTTTATTACCCATTATTCTTTTTATACTTATAAATTTAACAAATCAGAGTTCATTTGGTGTCAAGAAGAACCACAAAATAACGGTGCTTATACATTTGTTGAACCAAGATTAAGGCAGTTATTGTCATCCAAACAAGAGGTAACTATTGTATATATATATATATAGATATATATTTAAAAAAAAAAGTTTATAATTTGGTTTTTGATTTTGCATAGTTAAAGTATATAGGAAGACCACCAAGCGCTGCACCCGCAGTTGGTATTTCGAAATGGCACAATGCGGAAATTAAAAAGATTTTAGAAAACGTTTTTTAGATATTAGAAATTTTAAATTTGTTAAATCATTTCAATAGACTTAATAAATCAGCCATAAGAATTTTTTTACACTTTATTATAGTTGATGTTAAACTTTTTATCTAAACTAGGTGTTAGACCTGTCGTTGAATGACGGGCTATACATGTCTTTAAAAAAAAACTTTATCCATATTCAATCAATAAAATGACTCCAATTGTGTGATGTGATTTCGGACGTGCTTTGTCACTTATTTGTGAGGATATTAATCAGTTTTGTTATATAATACGAAAGATAACCATGTAACATTTATGAGTATATAGTAAGGTCGTACGGTACGGATACGCAAATTGGGACGGTGTGAACTGGATAAGATCGTCAGGTCGGTAGCTCCAAAATCGGGTACGTCGTATAACCACTCTGGGTTAATTTCGTTCGAAAGAGGCGT